AGCTTGGTTTCAGATATACAGAGATCCTAACAAGTAAGGCAGACAGAAACCCACTAAAAACGAAGGCAGTGTGCTTTTCTGGTTTTTCCATAATCATTTAAAAATATTAGCAAAGCAGACAAACAAGCCATTCATCAAAACAAAGTAGGTGATTGATAAACATCAAAAAGATGCCAACCTCACCAATGTTCAGTGAAATGCAGACTGGGATAACCACGTTTTATTCTTGATTTTGGTATTTAGAGTTTATACAATTAATGTTGATTAGCTTGACTATATCTTTAATGATTTTCTGTCTTCTAGTTCTATTACTGATGGGAGTGTTGAAGTCTCCAACTACAATTGTCAATTTGTCTAGTTCTCATTTTAATTGTCAGATTTCCCTTCAGATGTTTCGCCTCCGGACAATCTTCCTTGTAGTTTCAGCCTTCTGGAAGATCGGGTCAGTGTGCCCACCACAGCCACTCTGTGCCCTTCCCTGGGCACACGGAAATGCCCCTTCCTCTTCCTTCGGTCAGTTTGCAGGAATGATGCTCGCCACACTGACAGGGGTCCACCAGGGTGTAGGAGTGTTCCCCCATGTTTGTGAGATCACTGTTGACCGAAATGCAGGTATTTCGAAGCTCTGTTGTGAGGCTCTAAGGGAAAACTCCTCCTGTGTCCCTCTACTCTCCGTACAACTCGGCTTCACTGCGGACCCCGGACGTGGAGGACTTTCGTCACGTCGTGCAGTCTGCCACCCCAGTGCGTGTCCGACAATTCACCTCAGTTCTGACACTGGGCAGCAGAGGCTGCATCAGCTCCCACAGGTTAAGGGCTCAGTCCCGCAAGACTGCTGTCCTCGTGTCCTTCACGTGCTGACCGCATGTCCAGGTTGTCACCGACAAATCAGAGGTTCCCATGACCTCCTCCTTGGGTTCTATGAATTTGCTAGAGTGCCGCACGGAAATCGGAGAAACAGTTCACTACTGGAGTTCTGGCTTGTCTAAGAGGCTGGAACTCAGAACAGCCCGATGGAAGAGATCTCTCCGGGTGCTCCACTCTCCCCGAAACCCCACGCGTCCACCAACCCGGAAGCTCGAGCTCCATCCCTTGGGGGGTTTATGGAGACTTTATCACATACGCATGATGGATGAAATCACTGGCCATCAGCTATTGAACTCAATCTTCAGCCCCTCCTCCCTCCCCAGAGGTGGGAAGGAATGAATGAAAGTCCCACCCTCCAATCACAGGGCTGGTTCCCTGCCGTCCAGCCCCCATCCTTCGGTGCTTCCCAAAGCTCACCTCATTAACATAAACGCAGGTGTGGTAGAAAAGGGCTTGTTAGACGTTTCATTCATCTTTTTTTGGGGGAGGAGGGAATGTGCCCTTAGCAGGAACCGAACCCGAGACTCTCTGGTCCGCAGGCCGATGCTCCAACCACTGAGCCAAACCGGCCGTTTCTTTCATCTTTATGGCTCAGGAATGGAGAACAGACAGCCAGACACTGTATCTGCTGCTCCTTCTTCACTCCCAGTGGTCCAGATTTCCTTCTGGTATCTCTCTCTCGTCTGAAGAACATCCTGCACCTATTCCCTTAAAGGTCTCCAGTTCTCCACGTTCTTCTTCATCAGAGTTTCCTGGGGACATGTCACTGGGTATAGAGTTCTGAGTTGAAAGGTACTTGCTTTCAGCACTCTAAAAGTGCCGTGTTCTTCCAGCATCCATGGTCCCTCAGGGGGAAAAAATTCATCATCTGCAATGTTTCCCTGTAGGTAATCTTTCATTTTTCGCTAGTTGCTTTCAAGATGTCCTTTTATTTTTAACAGTTTGCAGTATTTCTGGCCATTGGGATTTCTTTGGGTTCACTCAGTTCACTTAGGAGGTTTTTAGCCATCATTTCTGCAGATGTTTGCAAAACACTACACTCTTTCTCTCATCTTATAACATGAGCCAAAACTCCTTTTTTCCTCTCTGTTCAGACTGGGTGATTGGTATTGATCTGTATCTTTCTTTTATTATCTCCATTCTTTTACTGAGTCTACCCAGTGAGGTTTTTCTTATTTGTTTCAGTAATATTTTCATTTGGTTCTATTGTTTTACAGATAAGTTGTATGTTAAAACTTATTCCAAGAGTGTTTGTGATGGCTCATTTGAATGCAGTCGCCTCCTCCGAGTCTAGAACAGCGTCTACGGTCGTTCCCCATTACGGCTGTTTCCATGGTTCTCGGGCACTGAGTGATTGGGGGCTGTGCCCTCGGCATTTTGAATATGACATGAAGAGATGCAGGCGAGTCCTGGGGAGAATGTGGATATTTCTGTTTGAGCAAGCGATCAGCGTTGGGTTCGGGCCACAGGTTCTGTGGGTGCTGGTTTCAACGTCAGCTCAGCTTGAAGCCCAGTGCTGTTTAGACCAGTCCCACGTGTAGGCCGCCCCGCGCTCAGTCTGAGACGTCAGCTCAGGCCGTGGGAGGTTGGCAGGCTCATTAGGGTCAGCTCCACAGGGGAGCGGTGGGAACAGGGGAGCAGGGCAGGGGTGAACTGGGGTTCACAATTTTGTGGAGTTACTTTCCTGAGCTCTTCCCTCTCTGCTTTCTCTCCAGTACTTGCTGGTTCCTTGGGACTCCCCATTTTTGGTCCACAAATGCCCACTTTTGTCATTGAGCCATGTCCTTCAGGGGAAAAAGGCACATGGCTCAGCCTCACCCTCTTTGGGGAAGAAAGAGTCTCTCCCTCGGACCCAGGCTCCCGAGGCTCCTTTGGCAGCCGTGGATGGCCTGGGGCCCCCAGCGGGGAAAGTGGAGGAAGAGGAGGGCACTTCCCCTCTGAGCGGTGACCCTTCCTGTCCCTCAAGCCGGACTTCGCCCGGACCCTGCACCAGAGCTCACGTCTGCGTTCGGAGCTGAGCCGTCTTCAGGCTGGGAGAAGCCAAGAGAAGCTTTCGAAAGGCACCCTCACCACTTGTCACTTAGAATGTGCTGTCCCTCCCCCATCTGCATGTGGGTGTCGGCTTCTCGGTGTCCTCCAGCGGCTGTGCCTGGTCCTAAGTGTGTGCCCAGTGTTAACTCCATCTCACCCGGACCAGAACCTGCGCTGAGATACTGAGAGAATGTTATAGAATGCGTATATCATTAACCTATACTTCTGCAAAAACAAACAAACAAAAACGTGTCTATGTACCCCCTTAGATAAGCGCTTAGGAAAAGGTCTGGAAGTTTATACACCAAACGTAGCACAGGTTTCTTCCAGGAAGGGGTACAGAATTTGGGTGAGGGGATGCTATTGAAGAGAACTTTCATTTTTCATTCTATACTTTTAAAAGTATTTTAACCATGCGCTACTACTTTTTTTTTTATCCTTACCCAGGGATGTTTATTGATTTCTAGAGAGAGGAAGGGAAAGAGAGAGGAAAACATCAATCGGTTGCCTCCCACACGTGTTCTGACCGGGGATCGAACCTGCCACCTAGGCACGTGCCCTGACCCAGGGTCAAACTCACAGCTTTTTGGTGATGACACTCCAACCAACTGAGCCACCTGGGCAGGCCATACACCACTTGGGTAATTTGTAAAATAATAGGAAAATGTGAAGTAAACCATGGAAAAATTTTCTAGTTTGACTCAACACGCATGTAAAGTATCTAACGTACCTCATTAAACATTTTCTCTGATGAAAAACCTGTTTTGGAGTCAACGTGTTTGTACACGTTCTTCCTGGACTCATCAAAATTCATTCCCACAAAACAGAAGTTCCAGTTTGTAATAGTAACTAACTTTATTCCCATTGTTCCAAGTAACTGCAATATTAAACATAAGCAAAAAACAACACACAGTTCTTATAAAAATGCAGCCCCAAATTCCCCAGGCCTGAGCTGGGATCACAGTCCCCAGACCGGGCTCTTTCGGAATGTTAAAGTGAACCTCGCACTCAGAATGCACTTCTGATGCTGGGAGTTCGGGTAGTTTTTCTTTAATCCCAAAAGAAGCTTCTAATGTCTTCATCCAGGGGTCCTGCCTTGCAAGGTGGAGTAAGTGTTTGAGGAGCAGCGGTTCCCCGCCTCACACCAACGGGCTTGCGGGAACACATCTGGGCCAGCTGCCTCCACACAGCCCGTGCACAGAGCTCGGTAGTAAGTATGATCTCACACTGAATAACTCCAACTCCTCCTATTGTACAAAAATCCATGTCACATGCAAACATTTCGTAATGACCGGGTCACATCTTTAAGCCCACGTTTAAAATAGTTCACTTCCTGACACTAGAGTAATGACCCTACGAGTCAGGCGTTAGCAGTTTGATACCGAACCAATGCAGCATCCGGCTTTTTAAATATTAGCACCATTTTAAACCTAATCCAGTGAAATGTAAAATTACCCACTAAACAATTTTTTATCAAAGCAGTCAACAAGAAAAGTTGTTATTTCTAAGATATGCTTCACCTCACTCCTTTTGCCAATACTCCTTCTGAGCATTTTAAATCTCAAGAACTGTAACATTCCATGTATAAAGATAATGCCCAGAACAGCATATTTAATTTAAAGGAGGGGAATGAATACAAAGAGATTTTTTCAAACCTTCAGATTGTGCCGTATTCTGTTGTGGATGTTATGATTCCCAGTAACCCACTGTTCTTCCATGTCATTTAGTTAGCTGATTTCCTAGCATAAAGATTACAAAGCTGTTGCATGCAATGTGGCATAAATAAGTGCCTACCACAAATGAGCAATTAAGACAAACTAGACCCGCCCTGGCCGGTTTGGCTCAGCGGTTAGAGCGTCGGCCTTCGGTCCGGAGAGACCCGGGTTCGGTTCCCGCTAAGGGCATGTACCTTGGTTGCAGTTTGTCCCCGGCCCTGGTTGGTCGTGAGGGTGGCAGCCACTCGATGTGTCCCTTCACGTCAATGTTTCTCTCTCTCTCTCTCCCTTCCTCTTTCTCCCTCCCACTCTATCTGTACAAAAAATGGAAAAATATCCTCGGGTGAGGATTAAAAAAAAAAAAGACAAACTAGACCCTATTGTATGTACCTTTAGTAAACCTTAGAAATGTTTCTATGTGCTTAGAAGTTTTATGGGAGGGGTGGTGACCACAACCAGAGGTACCAAGTGAGAGCAGTCTTTTAGGTTTAGAAAATAATAATAAAAAAGAATTCCTGTTTACTTCTCATTCACCTAGGTCCAGCAGAGTGCAAATGTCAATCAGTAGTCTCTTCTCTTAATAAAAGTAACACAGACACTTGGCAAATCGTTTTAATTAAGAGCTCGAAACCAACATTTTGAAAAGAGAGCCTGTGTAGCAATCATTTTATTCCATATTTTAAATATCACTGGATTCTCAAGCTGTTTCCAACTTTTCAACATGAAAGGTAATTTTAAACGATCTCGTTGTCTTGCAACTTGTCCCAAGAATTGGGAACACGATTACAACCACGTTAGTTTCTAAACCATCAAACTGTTACAACTTAAAAAATGTCATAGGCTCGAAAGTGAACTTTCACCCCTACAGAGAAAGAAAGAAAAGAAATCCTAACCTAAGGACTTAGACACAGGAAGGGACTCACAATTCATTCACGTCAACTTAGTCACTGTCCATGCAGGGTGAAAGTACTTTAAAAAGCTGGTTCACTTGTCCTGTGTTTAAAAAGGGGGGTGGAAATGGCCAACGGTGCCTTCTAGGTTGTTCCAGACGTCCATCTGGAGTTTTCAGTAGCAAGCTCGTGAAATACGAGTCGGTTTCCCGAAGCAGCGGGCCTGGCTGTCCGTCTAGAGGAAGCTGGGTGTCTAAGGCAGTCGTCCGTGCGGGGCCTGTGCCACCTCGCAGGCTCCCCTCCCTCCGATTGTCAGATGCAACGTGGACGCTGGAGCGGCCTGGCTAAGCCCGACCGCGCAGGAAGGTCTGGAAGGGCAGTGTTCACGATCAGCACGTGGTTCTGATCTAAGGTACTCGCCATGTCGAAGGACTTTAAAAGCAACCGTCTAAGTCACCAGGATTACTAGCAAGGTGGTTCTGGACAACACACAGACCTTCTTCTTCTTAAATACACATCTCAGTGAGTAGGACAGCGCTCTCTGTAAAATAACTCACCTTAAAACGACGCAAAATAGTTAAAAGGTGTTTTTTTTTTAAAAAAGCTCATGATTCTTCAGGATGAGTTTTCAAAGCTTAACACTGTTGTAAGTTAACATTATGTGAAGATTTCATGTGGAATAAAACATAAGTGTGTTCTAAAACGTGATCACAATACTTCAAAGACCCAGAGTACAAATGTCAAGGAAACACTCACCCTCACATCAGACACCAACTTGTCCTTCACACACCTCCAGGTGCCACACTGGCCACGCCTCTCTCTCCCTGGCACAGGATTCAGCAGCCATCCTTCCTGTCGATCCCCATCTCCGCCGGATGGAAACCCGTGTTTCCCAGAACTACGTGTGCTGTCCCCAAAGCCAATGGACTAAGAGAAGGAGCACTTCATTCACACACACGCCTACATCTGCTCCCACACCCAGCCAGCCTCTGGCACTGGGTTCTGTACGAGACCTACTGGCGAGGCGTGTACTTCAGCCGGAAGCCTGAGTGTGCCCAATATCGAGGCTTTGCTATGAGCGAGTTCTGTGGAAGAAAAAGCAGAGAGGGTGGGGAAGCCACATCTCCAATGGGCATCTCACTAAGAGTCCCTCGTCCCCAAAGGGCAAGCAAGACAACCTCCGTTTTATTCCACGAAGTTTCGGGAAGGTCTAAGTGCCACTGCCAGCTGGACAGAAGAGACGCAGGTCGGCGTGGGGGAGCCCGCAGCAAGTGGCCGGCTCCTTGCGATGTGTTCGAGGAACAATCTCACAGTTGAGAACAAAGGGACACGCCCGCCTCTCACTCCAAGGGGACATCAGCAGCCCTCTCAAACTGCACAGGCTCTTCCCACTGGAATGCATTTGAGCCATTAAACAGTTAAACGGTGCCTGGTTGATGATTCAGAGAGAAAAGCGGACCCGCGCCCAGCCTAGATACTCCTTAAATATCAGTCTACACGAAGTGCTGAACTGAATACAATGAAGTTCAATTGCTCAGAAACTACCAAAGTTCTAGTTTCACTACACACGGCATCTGTGTTAGTGCTGAAACTTGCTTCTGACTGGAGACTCTTTCACAAAACTGCACACAAGGAAAAATGAGTCTTCTGCTGGAATGATCTTACTGGCTATGGAACTGGAAAGTGTCTGAGGACTGGATGTAATAGGCTCCGCCTACATTTCTGGAAAAGATACTGAATGTTAAGCATCTACAGCCACTTAAAGGCATTTGGTGTTGATATCGTAAAAGATTAAGATGCTTTAAACAAAACCCTTACAAGAATATCAAAGATTTAGGGAATTATTTTCATAAACTCAAATGTCTATGGCTTCGTGTCACCCTGCTGCTGAGGCCGGTGACCAGGACTCCCCAAAAGACAATCATCTTCCGGAAATTCCCTAAGAAAAACCTCGCGTGATCGGGTGGTTTCTTAAACCTGCATCCAGTTCCTTTTGATGGTTTTCTGTGTCGTTGGTTTGTTCGTCTTTTATTGATGCTCCCTAAAGGGGGCTGTCCGAGCAGCGGCTCCCCCTCTACGCTCTGGCCGAGTAGCATCGCATGTACTCCGTCACCCACGGGCTCTCCGAGGAGGAAGGCCTGACCCTCCTGCTCTTCTCCACGTCCACCGAGTGAGCCCGCTGCCGCTGAGCAGCCAGCCTCCTCTTCTCCACCTGCCTCCTGCTCTTGGCTCGTAGTGCTGACTCGTGGATCTAAGGACAGTTCAAAAACAAAGGCAGAACAACGTTACGTGGCTTTTGAGCTAATCTGCAGGAATGTCTGCAGGGGGCTACCCCAGGCCCCGGAAGCAGGGCAGAGGCAAGCCGGCCCTCACTGTTCTCAGCTCTTCTGCAGAAGTTTCTCCGGAAGAGCCATCCCCCTGGAGTCTGCGGTGCACCCATGATCAGTGACAGAAACCAAGCACCTGAAACCGCCCACTGGCTTCAGATATAAATGGTAAGCAACTCATTTGCATGTGTCTCTAGAAACTGGCTCTGGAAAATTATTGGATCTGCTTAGCAGTAAGCATGGATACTTATTCCGTTAAAGGACTTTATACCTTTTAGAGAAGAACAGTAAAAAACAAACCCACAAAAAAAACCTCGCTGTGGCTCAGTTGGCTGAGCTCCTCATGCTCCGAGAGGTCACAGGTTCGATTCCCAGTCAGGGCACAGGCCCAGGGAGCGGGCTCAATGCCCAGTAGGGGGCATGCAGGGGGCAACAGATTGATGTTTCCCTCTCCTCCGTCCCTTCCTCTCTCTCTACAATCAATAATAAATATACATATTTTTTTTAAATCTCAAGGGATTGTACCACCCAAGACACTGTACACTATAGACAAGCCCTGTTAAACTTAACCCAGGGACTTGCCAGGGCTTTTGTTAAACCACAGCTTTGTGTCTCAAATATCACTCTAAATAACACCATCTGCTGGGGTTTAGAAGGCTGCTCAGTGAAAATGTGATTATGGTATTTAATCAGAATTCAAACCGTCTGCACTTTCTCCTCCTGCTTCTTTTCATTCATTCTTTGCTTTAGGCTGTAGCAACAGTAGTAACACTGACATACATGAGTGTTTTGTGACTCTAACATGAGGACCCTCCCGACTGACATGTACTCAGGACATCGAACAGGGACAAGCAAGGCCCCAGTCAGAGTAAGAGGCGCCAGTGTGTCTGAGCAGGGAAAACACATCATCTGAGTTTAATCCGAAGAGCAAACGGGAGTCCACGGCAGGTGGCAAGAGCTTCAGGGAGAGCAACCAACAGACCACGGGTGACTAAGGAGCCAAGGAACACGTTAGCAAAGCTGCAGGGACTGGAAACCTCTCAAGATGCCCGTGGCAAATCTGGGTGGACAGCTGCCAGCCCCTGCTGTGCCCCTCCTCCACACCCCCTGGCCCCCAAGAGCTCGAGAGCCCAGGCTCCTCCACTTCTTCACCAGGCTGTGTTGGTAAAACCCCTGCAGGTGCCTGTAAACTCCTGGCATGATCCCTCATCTCCAGGCAGCCAACATCCAGAATCCTCCTGCTTGCTAATCAGATGCCCAGTCCTGGACTTGCCTTGGCACAGTACCATCCCCTCAGATCTGTCATGACTCCAAAGCATCCCTGACCACAGAGTGTGATACCCAAAGACAGGAACGTGGCCCAAGCCATCCTCCAAGGAGAAGCAGAGAAGTGGGCTACGCGCACACACACACACACACACACACACACACACCTCGTGCACGAAGTGGAGAGCGGGCTGCACACACACACACACACACACCTCGTGCACGAAGTGGAGAAGCGGGCTGCACACACACACACACACACCTCGTGCACGAAGTGGAGAAGCGGGCTGCACACACACACACACACACACACACCTCGTGCATGGGAGCAGATGCACAGACGTTGTGCGTTTTCTGGCTTCCTGTATCCATCTGTTTCTCTCCCCACCCATAAAGGGCAAATGGATGCTTCTTTTCTTTTATTTTACTTGATGATCTTTGAGGACTTCTGACTGCTTTCCTGTTTCCTCTGGAGAACAAGGCACTGGGTTGTTGTCGAGGTTTGATGCCGTGGGGTAATCTGTCCGTCTCTTTTGTTCTGATCTCTTGTTCAGGCTTTTCTTCTATGTCTTTCACTGGCAATGCTTTTTAAGAAAAGAGACAAATGCTTTAAAATTGGGTTTACACAGAACTCCAATCATATTTGGCTTGAAGAATACATTATGCTTAATTGAGTCAGTAACATTTTCACTTAGAGTTTGATTCACAAGTTTCACTGAAGCAGAAACAAGCGAGTATAATTCTCAAACGGCCTATGCCATTTTTAAATCAACAACAAATACAGCAAGGCTGAACCAAGCCTACTCCAAAGCAGCTACTGTCACCCCTGTTCTGAGACTAAGCATCTCAGTTAAGTATTGAAAGTAAGCAGTCTCTGCAGCCTCATGGCTCTCTTCCAACTCTCAAGAGCCATCCAGTCTCAATGCCCGGCTTCAGGGAAGGTCTGTGAGAATCACGCAGCAGCTGCACAATATTCATTTTTAAGTTTCTCAACTCCAGTTCCATTACTTCCTGGTGTCCCACAATCATGGAAAATGTTCTGTAGGGCCCTTCACGCTCCTTGGAAGAGAGAGCTGGTGACCTCAATCTGCAAGGCCCGGTCACAGTCGGGTGGTTTCCATAGTTACTCGCCGGTGCACAGCCCTGCATCCCCAGGGGGAGCTGGAGAGGGCCGCGTCGTAAGGCGCTTCCCCTCCACCTGCCACCCAAGTGCCTCATGACCCCGTCCACACAGGCCTCACCTCTGCAGCAGAGCCGGGCACCAGTGGGGAGGGGCTGCCCGCCTGCGGTGAGCACTCCAAACGTAACTACTTCCCTTAACGACCTTCTCTGATTTTGCCTTTCATTACTTTTTATAAACCCTTTGTTTTTTGTAAAGGTTACATTATTATTATTTTTAATCCTCACCTGAGGATATTTTTTTTTAGATAGAGTGGACGGGAAGGAGGGAAGGAGGGGAACACTGATGGGAGAGAGACACATCCAATGGTTGCCTCTCCCACGACCCCAGGGACTGAACCTGCAACCCAGGTACCTGCCCTTGACCGGGAGTCAAACCCGAGACCCTTCAGTCGGTGGGCCAATGCGCTAACCGCTGAGCAACAGGCCAGGGCCAGGGTGTATCACTGTGTGCAAACCCTCTGTGGGCCTGTGGGCCTGTCAGTCTAAACGTCCACTCAAATAAAAGCTCCTGTGCCTCTAGGGCTCCACGTCCCGCCCCAGGGGTTGGTGGTGAGGACGCCCCTTCCTGGATGCTCCAGATCTGGCTCTAGTGATGACTTCACAGGTCGCTGTTCCAGAACCTCTTCACCCGTCAAGGCACCCTTGCACCTTACTCCCAGCTTGACTCCCTGTCTGTCTGTCCCCTTCGGAGTGCAGCGAGCCCCACAGGGCTGTCGGGCACAGAGCAGTGTGTGACACACCTTGATAATCACCTGTCATTCTGTCGTCAGCAACGACCTCCACTCGGCCAAACTGTTGCTTTCATCACTAGATATCTTAAGAAAGAGACCGCCCACGCCTGACCCGTGTCTGAGGCTCCGCACCACAGTGCAGCACCTTCAAGCCCAGCACACGAGCTGTCTGGGTGGCCCAGGAGGACACCTTCCACTCCATCGCACACTCACTGCTCAAAAGTTCCTCTGAGTGCTGTGTCCACACCGTCTCCCTTCTCTTCCCTGGAGCTAGGAAGCGGGAAAAGGAGCCCATTAGGGCCAAGACAAAGGGAGAGAGACGGGGGCAAAGACTCCTGTACTTATCATCCTGAGGAGGAGGAAAAACAGCCCAAGCATCCTGGCTGACTCCTTTCCCTTCCTTCCCTTCCTCTGCGCTGCGTCTGGCCCAGACCTCCCAGCGAGCCTCCTGGAGAAGGTAAAGAGGGTCAGTGTCGAGGACGAGCTGGATCCGCCAGAAGAGAACGGGGAGGGAATTCCAGGCAAAGGGAATGGCCTGTTCAAAGGCACAGAGAGAAGAACAAATAGAAATGGTTCAAAATGACAGGGACGCGGAGTCTGTGGACGAAGGCGGGAAGCAGGTAGCAAGGGGGAGATAAAGACTTTCTATTTCAAACTCAGAAGATTCTATTTTACCCTGGAAATGAAGAATTTGAAGCTGAAAAGTGACACGGCCGTATCTGCATTTAGGAATGAGACCTCCAGCTGCAAATGTGCAGGAGGTGAGGGGGGGGGGGGGCAGAAGGGTCGGCTAGGGGGAAATGACAGCGTCCAAGCGGGCAACCAGAAGCAGGACGGCAGGGGGAGGTGAGAAACCGCCAGAGCAGTGCTCGCCACGCCTGGCAGATGCTCAGACTCACCTGGGAACTGGACCTACACACTGATCAGACCAGTGGGGCGACGGCACCAAGGCTGCTTTTCAACAAGGCCTCTCCAGGGCAGATGCCCAGCAACGCTGGTGAGACCCACAGGTGAACAGAGAGCAGACAGGATGCTGGCTCCCACAGTGTTTGGAGTGGACGGTCATGCTATCCTCTGATACACAGTCCGCCAAAGGTTGAGCAAGGGGGTGCTTGGCACCTCGGGTGTGAGATGCTCTCGGAACAACAATGGAGGCAGCAGCTGGACCCTTAATCAGGGGCTCAAGAAAGAAGGTGGAATTGGAGAGAAGGCTGCGAGCGAGCAGGTGGGAGCTGAGGCTCAGGTATGGATCAGGTCACCCAGAAGAAATTCATTGTCGGAGGAGAGAAGCGAGTCGGGCCAGGGGACACCGTTACTCACTGAGCAGGCAGGCAGAAGACAAGCCCAAGCGGAAGACAGAGAATAGCTGGAAAAGTACAAAAACTAACCAGGACAGAAGCTGAGGAAAGAGGTTCAGCAAAGGAGAACAACTGACAGCGCCAAATACCAATGTGAAGTTGGTAGGATGAGGACTAAGACAGACGGCACTGGGCAGCCAGGCTGTCTCATGGCGACAGATGGGGGTGTGGGTGTGGACAGATCACAGAGGGCTGCAAAGTGAACAGAATGGAGACCTCCATTCTGGTAAAGGGGGGCTACTGGACCAACCTTTCCACCACGGACGACTAAAAAGGGTGACATTAAAAACTAATAGTGTCAACCTGGCTGGTTTGGCTCAGTGGTTAGAGTATCAACCCCAGGACCAAAGATTCACAGGTTCAATTCCAGTCAAGGGCAAGTACCTCGGTTGCAACTCAGTCCCCAGCCCTGGCTGGGGTCGCGTAGAAAGTCATCTACGTGTGTCTCTCCCATAGGTGTTAGTCTCTCTCCTGCCCACTCTATCTGAAGATAAATGGAAAAATATCCTCAGGTGAGGATTAAAAAAAAACAAAGCAAAAAAACAACAACAAACCAGTGTACATGAAACACAAGAAACTAAAACCTTCTCTGGGGACCACAGGCCTCAAATTATTCCTAAAAATAATTTCTCAAAGACACCATTATGAGTGTACTGCAAGCAGAGAAGACAACAGAAAGGACCAGCAGGAGCCACAGACTTGAGATAATGGAATTATCACTTACAGAATATAAAATAACTGTTTACCCCTCTGTATTTAAAGAAAAGAGACAGGTTCAAAAATAGCAACAGCAGCAGGAGACAAGGATGGAAAAGACAGAAGACACAGAACCTATCACTATAACATTCATACATATAAAACGATTGAAATAGTGCCTGGTACAACATAGGTTTATGTTTCAAAATCCCATTCAAAAAAATGAAGTTTAAAATAAAGACATTTTCAGGCAAACAAAAACAATGTTCACCACCGTTATGGTAACAGATGGATCATTCAAACAAAAATAAGTTCAGTTTTCATTTAGGACTGTTCTTTCCAATACAAAAGCTACTAACCACATGCAGCTGTTAAATATAAGTTTAAATTAACTAACGTTAAATAAAAATATTCAGTTTCTCAGTTATACCAGCCAGAGTGCATGTGGCTAGTGGCTACCTTGCTGGACAGTTGCAAATAAAGACCAGGTCCATCAGCACAAGGTTTTATGGAACTGCCAGATTTTTTAACATATGTGAACAATAGAACTAACACATTTGACCTAATGAAGATAGAGCACTGCAGCCAACAATTGCAGAAAATCTCTTCATGCATGAACACTTCACAAAAATTTACATATTCAAGGCCATAAAGCAAATCTTAGTGCATTTACAAAACTGAAATCATATAGAATGTATGCTCTAACTATAGTGTAAAACAAATCATATGGTTGCACAAAAATGTGAATGCACTCAATGCCACAGAGCTGTACACTTAAAAGTGATTACAAATAGTAAATTGTATTGCGTATCTCTTACCACAATTGTTTCAAATTAAAAAAAAAAAAAAAAATGCCCTGGCCAGTTTGGCTCAGCGGTTGAGCGTTGGCCTGTGGACCAGAGAGTCCCGGGTTCAGTTCCTGCTAGGGGCACGTACCACAAAATTAATTAATTAATTAATTAATTAATTAATTAATTAATTATTTTTTAAAAGGTAGTGGTGATGGAGGGCATTCCTTTCTTAATCCTGATCTTATTAGAAATGTTTTTAAAATGTCCTCATTAAGCATGATGTTTGCAGTAGAGGTTTTTGATATTTAGTCTGTTTCTAAAAGGTAAATATGTTTCCTTATTTGTATAGTATACGTAGTTAAATTTTATAAATGTTTTTCCGTATTTTAAAACTCATAATAAAAATTAGAAAATGGCCCTGGCCGGTTTGGCTCAGCGGTTAGAGCATCGGCCTGCAGTCCTGAGAGACCCGGGTTCGGTTCCCGCTAAGGGCGCATACCTCGGTTGCAGTTTGTCCCTGGCCCTGGTCGGTTGTGCGGGTGGCAGCCACTCGATGTGTTCCTTTCACATCGATGTTTCTCTCCCTCTTTCTGTTCCTCTCTCTCTCTCCCACTCTACCTGAACAAAAAATGGAAAAATGTCCTCGGGTGAGGATTAAAAAAAAAAAAAAATTAGAAAATGTTCTTAAATGCATTAAAAATACTATATAACAAAACCTGCATGATACAGCTAATGCTGTAATCAGAGGGATATTTATAGCTTTAAATCAACACTATATCAAAACAGAAAGGCAGGGCAAAAAAATCAATTATTAGCATCTATCTTA